GAGTCAGAAATCTGAAGCACTTCGGTATGCACCGAGTACTTCAGATGTGTGACCTGAAATCTTCGGTATATACCGAACTACTTCAATTGTCTGACCCGAACTTCGGCAGATGGACCTTAACTATTCGGATGCGTGATCCGAAAACTTCAGAGATCCATATGATCTCAGCTTCGGGTTCCATGCACAAACTTTTTTCTCCGTGTTTCCTTTTAGGGGACGCAACTAAAATTTCAGTAAATTTTTTTCAGAAAGGTAAAGAAAAAAAAAAGTGGCTAACGATGGTTCCTCACCTTCACGTGGTGTTGGCTGTTTTTACTAAGTGGGAACCGTCCATTTTAAGATATAGTCTATTTCTTGCCCTGCCATTATTATTCTACAAGTTAATTGTGGAGTGAGAATTTCATAATGTTTTCTATGAAATCTTCAAAATATAGTGATAAAAAATTTGCAACTACCACAAAATCGGCTCGCGAAGCGAGCCGAATGTCACTCGCGGAGCGAGTGACCGGGGGTCCAGGGGGCGTAGCCCCCGGCTAGGCGTGACGGGCGCGCGAAGCGCGTCCAGAACGGCTAGTTTCTGATAATCCTCTAAGTGCAAAACGAGTTGTTCAGGCGCGTGTGGTTGCAGGAAATGTGGGCTTAAATGCTCAGCATTGTGCATCAACTGCAGTGATACATGCGAAAACAGGCCTGAAATTGTTTTAGCGGACTCTGAGGAGGAGGATGATGTTGAAGCTTAGGACTTTTTCGACAAGCCAAGTCCAGAAGAAGATTTTGAAGCTGTCACGACTGAAGTTCAAGACCTTCCAGAAAGCCTACATTCAGAAATAAAATATGAACCTAAAGGTTTGTTATTTCTTTAACACTGCTCGCTTGTTATCAAAAACTTCTTGCATAGAAAAAATACCATGGCAAGCTTTATTAAACAATCAGGTGTTCGTTAGTGACATGTATTCCTGATAATCATTACCAGAAATTTCGGTAAGGATTATCAGAAATACACACCATATATGAACACCAGACTGCTAGATACAGGAAACCAGAATGCTTTTTTTATTTGGGATTAGTGATGCGAACATTTTAATCTTCCATTAATTTAGGTTCCTTTTTTTCCCTTTTCTTTTCTTTCCTTTTCTTTCCTTTTCTTTTCTTTTTTTTTTTCGTCTGACTTCTAGCTTTATATTCTGGATACTGTGTTAGAGTCGGAGATCAACGCCGGCCGTGATGTCTATGGAGGGGAACCAGGCCCATCCACCTGTCCGTCACCAAAAGGTAGAACTTCGTTGCACCGAGCTACCAAACGCCCACGATTGGACTAACTCACTTACTAATCAAACATGTCCACATTTTGAAAATGTTTTAGATTTTTTCTAAATCCGTAGCCAGTCATTTATGTAATGGGATTAATAAAATAATACATTGAAACAACCGCTTGTTTAATATGACTTACACGTAAAGGGTTGCAGGGATAAAGGGTGTTAAGTACGAGTAGGGTCATCCAAAAAGTAAGGTTCCCTACCTTGTATCTTCCGAGAAAAACGAGATAAATCAAATCGGTAAAAAAGCACATGTTAGACATACTCTAAGCTTTAAAACAAACTCAAGATTTTGAAAATCGGTCAAAGAATTCGCGAGTAAACTTAATTTTACAGAGACAACCTCCTATCGCCGCGTGCCCACCTCCGGGGTCAGGATGCGCGGAGAGTCGATTATTGAAGACTCAGGTTATCGCCTCTATACAGGGTGTTTCAGACCATCCGTACCAGGCCTTTTTCTCGGTTGTTTTAGGTCGTACGAAGTCGGGGACCGCGGGATTGAATAGGGAATTGACCCCAAAGAATCCGAATTTCGTGGTCCTGAAACCCCCCCACCCCCCCTTGGGAGGTAAAGGGGGGGTCACGATGCTAAAGGTCACGGTTCCCGACCGAATTGCGGATTAATCGCATCAGAATTGAAAAGCATGGAAAATTTCACGTAAAATTGACCCCTAAAAATCCATAATCGGCCCATCCAAGGCCCAAAAATGACCCCCTAAAGAGGGGGACAGTACCCCCCTCCATAATTACTCTTTGGTCTCAAAATTGACGTAGATTCTCCAGAAAATAAGGTTTCCCAGGTAATCGACCCCGAGAAATCCAAATTTCATGGTCCCCAAGCTCCTCTAGCCCCCCTTGGGAGGTGAACGGGGGGGCCTAATTTTAAAAATCGGGGCTCCTTTCCGAATCGCAAATTGATTGCATCCAAATTGAGGAGCAGAACACTTTTACATCTTAAGTGACCCCCAAGAGTTTTAATTGACCCTTCTGAACGGCAGAAAGTAACCCATAAGGAGGGGGGCTCCGCTCCCGCCAAAAATTTCTCAAGATTCCTCTTTGGTCGCAGAATTGACGTCGATTCTCCAAAAAAAAGCGGTTTCTGCCCAAAAGGGCGAGTAGCGGAGCTTAGGGACCATGAAATTCAGAGTCCTCAGGGTCGATTACCTGGAAAACCGTCTTTTTCTGGAGAATCGACGTCACTTTTGCGACCAAAGAGGAATCTTGAGAAATCTTTGGCAGGAGCGGAGCCCCCCTCCTCATGGGTTACTTTCTGCCGTTCAGAAGGGTCAATTAAAACTCTTGGGGGTCACTTAAGATGTGAAAGTGTTCTGCTCCTCAATTTGAATGCAATCAATTTGCGATTCGGAAATAAGCCCCGATTTTTAAAATTGGGCCCCCCGTTTACCCCCCAAGGGGGGCTAGAGGAGCTTCGGGACCATGAAATTTGGATTTCTCGGGGTCGATTACCTGGGAGACCATCTTTCTCTGGAGAATCTACGTCAATTTTGAGACCAAAGAGAAATTATGGAGGGGGGTACTGTCCCCCTCTTTAGGGGGTCATTTTTGGGCCTTGGATGGGCCGATTATGGATTTTTAGGGGTCAATTTCACGTGAAATTTTCCGTGCTTTTCAATTCTGATGCGATTAATCCGCAATTCGGTCGGGAACCGTGACTTTTAGCATCGTGACCCCCCTTTACCCCCCAAGGGGGAGTGGGGGTGTTTCGGGACCACGAAATTCGGATTCCTTGGGGTCAATTCCCTAATCAACCCCGCGGTCCCCGACTTCGTGCGACCTACAACAACCGAGAAAAAGGCCTGGTACGGGTGGTCTGAAACACCCTGTACATCACATCAACAAGGAATTTTAAAGTTTTCATTGAATAGGCCTTACCTTACTTTTTGATGTAGTCTCCACATCTTTTTTGACATTTCTGGTATTATTACAGCAGCTTTTTGATGCCCTCCGCGTATCGAAGCTTATGCCTCGACTCTGAAACCAGTCCTTGACAGCTATCTGTACCTCTGAATCAGTTGAAAATCGCTTCCATCGTGGAAGTGTTTCCGCTCGGGAACAAATAAATCACATGAAGCTAAAGTAAGAGAGTTTCAAGGATTGGAGGAAAATTTCCCTACCCAAAGCAACTGATTTGGAAGTGCAGATCGCTGTCGATGACTGGTTTCAGAGTCAAGGCGAAAGCTTCTACGCGGAAGGCATCAAGAAGCTGCTGTAATGATACCAGAAATGTCAAAAAAGATGTGAAGACTACGTCAAAAAGTAGGGTAAGGCCTACTCAATGAAAACTTTAAAATTCCTTGTTGATGTGATGTGTAGAGGCGATAACCCGAGTCTTCAATAATCGACTCTCCATGCATCCTGACCCCGGAGGTGGGCACGCGGTGACAGGAGGTTGTCTCAGTAAAATTAAGTTTACTCGCGAATTCTTTGACCGATTTTCAAAACTTGAGCTTGTTTTAAAGCTTAGAGTATGCCTAATATGTACTTTTTTACCGATTTGATTTATCTCTTTTCGCTCGGAAGATACAAGGTAGGAAACCTTACATTTTGGATGACCCTCGTATCTAATGGCGCAAGATCGATATCTCCCGCTGCCTTCGTCGCGCTCCCATTCTCGCAATTTTCACGTTAAGTGTACATATGTATAAACCAATCTCTTGCAAATTTAATCGTCTTTCGACAGAAGTGGCGGGATTTTCGATATTTTGAACAGAAAAAAGTTATGGGCGAAAAATGGGGAAAACCCGTAAATTTTAATCGTTTTTTCAAAATGGCGGCCGGGGGGAGGGTCGGAACCGTCAGGCAAGTCCAAATTCGGATTCTACGACCCAAAAAACATAAAGTTAGCCCATAATTGTTAGTTCGACTAAACTTTCCTTCAAAAATCCTCTATTGCCTGGACTATAAGTAAATGCCCTTAGCATTTTGCTGAAAACATAGCGTAAGTGCTGTGTTATTTTAATTTTATAGAGGAAAGTGAGGACATGATAAAAACTCATTTCATAGAATCCACTGCAATGCAATATGCAGAAAATTTGAGGCACTGAGTGCAAGAATGGCACTTCTTGGTTGCGGTGGTTCAAAATCTCTACTAATATTTCATCAGTGAAGGAAATTCATGGATTTTGTTGAAATTTCTACTGAATTATTTTTCATGATTCTGCAATTTACTGTGAAAAAAATCCTTGAAATTTACCATTAGAAACTACTCTACTAAACAAATGTGAGCGACATGGATTCTGGAACATCGTTAAAAAGAGGTGCGAGCCCTTCTCGAGCGCAGCCACTTAATCACAGACCATAATAAAAAAGGATAAGAGCCATTCCTTCCATTCCACAGTAAATTTTCAATCTGTATCAAAAATGTTCAAATTCTCCTTGTTCGCAAGTACTTTCTACATCATACTTGGCAACCAAGTTAGCTCTGAGTGAGATTTTAGAAAAACCAAACTTACTTAAATGTACAAATTATCTGGTGTCCTGCACCCAATCTTTCAAACTTATTATTTTGGTTGTTTTAAGCATTTGCTTCTGCTCTCTTTTTCTACAAAAGGAGAACATACATGTTCCGAAACAAAAAAATCCCAATGTGCCAAAGATTAGAGACAATTTCGGGATAGTTTGCAAGTTTACATAAGGTTTTCTTGTCCAGCGGGGTGAATTCCTGACTTGTTTGAGACGTTCGTCAAGATTCTTGTACAATGCTACTGTTTTAAATCTTTTCCTTTAATCTCCAAGTCTTCTGTCCAACAGACCCATTCCATTAAAGTGGTGTTGTATACATTTTTTCCTTTCATTTATATGCCATATTACTTCAATTCAGTTTACACTTTTTCAATACAAATTATAGGCAAAAGGGCGAAAGTTGGAGAACAGTAAATTAGAAAATATTATTACCTGTGCAAGTTCGTAATATCCTGCAGAGCAAGCTAAAGACAGAAGGCTTTCACCTTCCTCGTTGGTTTCGTTTACACTTCTACCTTCACCAAGCAGTTTTCTGACTGCACCTACATCACCATCTGAACATGCTTCAACCAAAGTCCTGAAATAAATACATCCAGAATGTGAAAAAAAGAGATGAGAATGGTGCTGACAGTTGCTTACGATCCTTGTCAATATACTTAAGGTTTTCTTTCCTATCCTTTGATAATTATAAGCTAGTAATGAGTGCATCAAAAAATTTGAGTGAAATTTTTCAAATACGGCGACTCGTTGCAAGGACTGTTGCTTGACAAACCACAATTTTTTTATTTTTAATTTTTGACATTTTACTATACACATAAAATACATTTATATAAAATTAGAATTTCTGTATCTACAAGGGAGAAGGGGGCCATCAGGGGCTGAACTGAAAGGTAGAAGGAGCGTAAAATGGTATAATCCCTATTTCATTGGCATTTTTGTGTGAGTTAACACGTAACAAGAATGTCTGTAAGAATAACTTCAGCTAAATGCATCTCATTTCTTCATAGTAAGGACACATTAAATCTCCCTCATTTGTTAAAAACCACTGAAAACCGGTCCAGAATTTGATGCGCTTGTAACCCCAGCAATTGGTACCTAGTGTTATAAAACTGTAACTAAGCACCTGACTTCTTCTTCTTCTTCTTTCTTCGAATGTTAGTGTGGGACGCGAGGGGATGATTTGACTGGGCGGCATATAAGAGGGTTGCAATTGCATACCCAAATAAATTAGAGAGCTTCCAAATCAGCCTGTATGTGTTCTGATATTCTAATAATGTGAAGCTGCACACTAATGTGGATCATTTTCCGTTACTTTAATATACTACATTGTCTACCCGCAAATAAAATTTCATACCAAACAACATGAAAAAAATTGAACTGATGTGGTAGATCTACAGATGACATCTGTAATTCAAGATGATACTGACCATTTCAATGGGCTATTTCTACTCTAGCGACTATTATAACTTCCCAAGAATCAAATTCTATGAGGCATTGATGATGAATCTACTGTAAATCGAATCCATGGCCCAGCAGACTAAAATGTACTTATATTGTTGTGCAAGTCAGCGATTTGGTAAGATTTCCTTGTAGTTCAAGACTCAAGAGCCCACACCAAATTATCTAATCAGAGATTATGAGAATTTTCACACACATTCTTAGATTGTGGTACTCGAGTGTAGCAAGGATCAGGCAGTCTGACTGGTTATAGCCGATGGGTCCAAAATTTGAGACCAAATTCACGAAAAATTGTGTAAAATTTAATCAGAAAGTATTATAGTTGATTTTAGTCTCATTTTGTATGAGTGACATCCCTGATTAAATATTACCTTGCCAGACTGTCGAGCTCGGATGAGAAAGGGTTGTCAGATCGCTGAAAGTCGCCAAAATTGACCTTTTCTGCCTAGTTCATATGAATACACATGAGTCCAGCCAACCGATCCCAAAATAGGGGCTTACCCTCTAAATTCTGAAAAAAAAACTCAAGCGTACGTTTCCCATGTGTTCTTTTAGCGCCAAGTTCGAATCTGAACTTTGCTACCTTCGATTTTGGCCGCTAAAGCCGACATCTAGAAAAAACGTTGCCAAATCTCATTTTTTGTCCAAAAATCGGTAATAACTCGTTCCCTTTGCGTCGTACTGCCTATGAAGTTATTGTAAAGCAAAAGTGCGTTAAATTTTGATTGAGTAGCATGGATCCAAGTTTTGATACGATGAGTACCATCCGCGCTGAGAACAGCGGGAAATTTGAAAAAATCGCAATTTATTGCGTTTTCCTTATTTACCTACCTTTTTTCTGGGCGATTTTTCGGCGAAAATGGTCAACGCAAAAAATGCTAATAGGGAGTCTCACTCTTTCGACTAATGACTGTTCATACAGAAGTTAGGATCGCTTGAAGTCCGAGACTCAAACGACCGAAGTCGGTGGCAACGCTGGATCACGGTTCTGCCATATTATAAGGATTGTAGTATGGTTTCATGACGTATTTTTTTAGCGTTGTAGCATTGAATCTCGCTTATAAACTTTAAAGTTAGAGATTTCAGTTCACCCATTATGGCATCCCTTTCCACATCCCTACCCTGGCCTTTCCACAGGTCTTGAAAAATTATGATGGGACACTTTCCTTTCAGTGTCTAAATTTTTTCGAACCCCGGGGAAAAAGAGTTAAAGTCAACGAAAGGATCATTTCAGCAGCCTGAGCATTGAAGATGGCAGGGCGGAGTCCGAAATAGAGTCGATGGCAGGGCGGAGTCCGAAACAGAGTCGATGGCAGGGCGGAGTCCGAAACAGAGTCATTGTCAGGGTTTTGAATCTTTGAGATACCTGGCGTGTTACTGCTTTTTCCTTTTTTTCCTACGGAGAAATCCTCCCTTAAGTACAGTACTTTCACAGGAGTCGCAGCAATATAAACACAAATATGTACACTGAATAAGGCTGTTGTCTTGTACCCTGCAGTCAAATGTCGCAGAATCAGTTTGGCCGCAGTATTTGGGGCTTTAGCAGGAAGTTTTTTAATCAGCTCCTTCGGTTCAGGCTTCTGCACTACTATCAGCAACAAGCCATTCTTTGTTGGCAGCAAGACCCATTACATTGCACCCGGTTCCATACATTTCCATGCTTGTTCTTGCTGGACCGTCATAAAAGAGATATTTTGGGCGGCCTCCTCAGAAGATGGCAACAAGTCAAATTTTGGAATAAAGTTTTCACCAGGCCTCATACCATCATTATTCTGCGAAGTTTCTTCGGGGTTTTTATAGCCCTACAGAGCAATGGCTGCACACATGTGCACTTAAGGGTGCACAGATTTGTGCAAATATTGCTGCTGTTCCGGCGACAACCTATGCAGGAGAAATTCTCATTCAAAGAATCAATAGCAGAATTCGACAATTTTGAGGTCGTAGATATTAAAGATGCTGATAATGACCCTGTTTTGGGGACGGACTCAGCCCTACCAACTCCCATGTTGTAGGTTCCTGGGTCCCTGTCAACTTAGGAACCCAAGGCTCAAGCTTGAAGTGTTCAAGCTAAAATGCTGGAGATTTAAATCATTTTATTTGGCTTCATCCTCGCTGAGAAAAGAAGAGTGACAAGTTTTACTCTGCTGATACCTTCACGCATGAGTAGCTGATCTTATGTTGAATTTTTTGGTGAATATCTAATATGCTACTCCGGTGAAGGAAACATTTCCAAAATTAATTTAATTAACAATATGCGTTCTTGATTGTGATGCTGAAATGATCGTTTCAGTGACTTTAACTCTTTTTCCCCCAGGTTTGAAAAAATTTAGACACTGAAAGGATAGTGTCCCATCATAATTTTTTAAGACCTGTGGAAAGGCGCAGGGTAGGGATGTGGAGAGGGATGCCATAATGGGTGAACTGAAATCTCTAACTATAAAGTTTATAAGCGAGATTCAATGCTACAACGCTAAAAGAATATGTCATGAAACCATACTACAATCCTTATAATATGGCAGAACTGTGATCCAGCGTTGCCACCGACTCCGGTCGTTTGAGTCTCCGACTTCAAGCACTCCTAACTTCTGTATGAGCAGTCGAAAGAGTGAGTCTCCCTATTAGCATTTTTTGCGTTGACCATTTTCGCCGAAAAATCGCCCAGAGCTGTGCTGGATGGTACATGCATTATATCAAAACTTCCGAGCTCGACCGTCTGGCAAGGTAATATTTAATCAGGGAAGTCACTCCTACAAAATGACACTAAAATTAACCATAATACTTTTCGGTTAAAATTTGCGTCTCAATAATTCGGGACTTTCGGGCCGTCTGGCAATCCTATTCCATCCGAGTTCGACATGAGACTAACATTAACTAAAATACATTGCGGTTAAAACACAATATTTCGAGAATTTGATGATCTCAAATTTTGGACCCATCAGCTATAACCCGCCAGACTGCCTGATCCTTGCTACACTCGAGTACCCCGATCTAAGAATGTATGTGAAAATTCTTATACTCTCTGGTTTGATAATTCTGTGCAGGCTCTCAGTGTATTAACAGGGTGCTGTCCTGAAGGACATGATAACTGACTGAAGTCTGCACGCATTGGAATGTCCAAAGCATGCAGAGATCACTTGTTTTAAATATTTCAACTATATTTATGGAAAAAGAAATACCTAGTTTCTGCAACAGATGCTCGCTCACTTCGCATCCGTGTGAGTGCTGCAGCAGCTTCATCTAGGGCACATGATACACTGGAGGTCAATCGCCTCAATACTTCAGGATCTGCTAAATGTTTCCCATCACCAGTTGTAGATAGTTTGCCAATTCCTTAGGAAAAAAAATTAACAATTACATGAGATGCTTACAGTTGAAATCCTATTACAATGAATTCAGAGATATTTTGCTACACTGATTGAAAAAAATGGAAAACTCAGAGCTGTGATCACTTAGAAACTAAAGAGGAATGATGGGAATCCACGGCAATATACTGTGAAAAAGGCAGATTTTGAATCACTTAGGCCAAATTTGGTACCTTTTCAGCATGAATTGTTGGGTATTCAGTTGAAATATGGATTTAGCAAAACAGATTGCACAGGACTCATCTAACAAATAGTTACCCCTCTTTGTTGAAAAACGAGATGTCCATTTGCTTGTGTAAAATTATAATGGAATATTACAACTCTTACCAGCTGCTTCTAGAAGGGCCTCAAGCCTGGCTTGAGTTTCAGCATCTACCACTGTATCAGAATCATCTGAATTTAAGAGGTATTTACTTCGGTTATTGACAAGCTCCTCTTGATCTATTACAAAAGACTCCACCTGAAATTCAAGGAGCAATTAAAACTTAGGTATTAACATTTCAGAAATTTTAAATTTGAAAAAATATTGATACAAAAACTTGTTTTAACAATTGTCCTAGAATCTCATGGCTCCTCTACTAAAAAACCATTCACATAATGTTTCTCGTTGCCTCAGGAACATCAAACAAATTTGCTTTGTTAACTCCAACAAAGAATAAAATTATGTGTGATAGTCCACAGGATACAGGGCATTGGACCGGAGAAAAAGGAGAAAAATTTTGAAGCAGCATTTTTTCACAACTCGGGTTGAAAAGTAAGAATTGAAGTAAGAATTTGACTGAAAACACTATAGTTTCGGTATCCCAACGACTAAGTTCCAAATTTTTCGTTTTTCGATTTTCTGTACTAATTACATGTACAAGATTTTATTTACAGACATAATTGAATACATTACGAAAATTTTGATTTAGGTTTTAAGAGTAATCTTAACACTCGTAAGTATTGCTTAAGGAAAAGTTATTTAAAAGTTAAGTGCCTTTCTTGTTTCGTTCTTCTGTAGGGACGAGACCAAACAGCCGAAAAGTCCCTTGAACATCCTCCTTAACTGTGCTTGTCTAGCACAAAGAGGCACGCCAGTTCAACATTTATATTTTAAAAACCCCAGAATGCCAAGCTCACGGCGCTTTCTGCATTTCTGTTGGCGCACACAATAACCCCATTCCAAAGGGGTTGAAGTGTTGAACTCCTCCACTGATTCAATGTTGAGGTTCCTTCTTGTATCTCGATTCCCTTGTACCATCTAACATTTATCATATTTCACAGCACTTTTAAGGGAAGACTTCAATTTGGATTGCACTTTGCAAAAAGGAACCACTGGCATTGCAATGTTGCTAAGATTGTGCAACTTCTTTTGTCTTGGAGGAAAAACCCGATTATCCATTCATAGTTTCTATTTTACTCGCTAAAAACTGTAAATTTAAGACAAAAATTACCATCTAAATTTCATAATTTTTCACGATTTCCGCAATTTTATTGCAAAAGATGAAGTTGCACAATCCGAGCATCATTGCAATGCTAGTGGTTCCTTTTTGCAAAATGTAATCCATTTTATCTAAATCACTTTTGGATGCACAGCCCGGCCACTGGCACCCATTGCTCCAAATTGGACCCAACACAGTCTTGTAGAGGTGCGTTTGGAGGTGAGAAAGTACCTTCGATTTTCGACCCAGAGGTCAATACATATTTGAGTTTAGCAACTGCATTTGAGCAATCCTATTTTTTTTTTTTTTTTTTTTTTTTTTTTTTTTTTTTTTTTTCAAATGTGAAGCTCCTATTTGAGCCTGGCATCCAGGGGAACTTTCAAGTATTTCGCAAAGGAGGGGTATCGATAAGGGCCTTTTTTGGCCCCCTCCTAAAATCTGGAAAGAGCCTCGCCAAGTTTAGCCCCTTTTTTTTATACCCGAGTTGGTCAACCGGACAGCGCTCAAATGAAAGCCTATGGTAAGGCAAACTTCCATGCAAAGTTTCAACTTGAAGTGACCCCTGGTTTAAGCTGTACAGCGTTGCCAATTTTCCAGTTTCATGTGCTAAAATCAAGGATATTGGACTATTAGTCCGGTGCATAAGTAGACTATTATACCCAAGTTGGTCAACGGGACAGGACTCAAACGAAAGCTTATGGTAAGGCAAACTTCCAGGAAAAGTTTCAACTTGAAGTGAAACCTCGTTTAGGCTGTACAGCGTCGCCAATTTTCCATTTTTATGCGCTAAACTCACGGAAAAACCCTAATTTTATGTTAAAAAAATTAATAATAAATTGGCAACACTGCTTCGAAAAGTTCACGATGGCCTTTAGTTGCGCTTCTATTCGATCTCAGGGTAGTATTCAGCTCGTAGACCGATGCACTAGTCTGTTTAATTATGATGCACTGGACTATTAGTCCCTTCATTTTGGCACATAAAAATGGAAAATTGGCAACGCTATACAGCCTAAACGAGGTTTCACTTCAAGTTGAAACTTTTCCCAGAAGTTTGCCTTACCATAAGCTTTCGTTTGAGCCTTGTCTCGTTGACCAACTCGGGCATAATAGTCTGTTGAACCATGATGATTCAGTATTTCGTGAGTTTAGCGCATAAAAATGGAAAATTGGCAACGCAGTACAGCCTAAACGAGGTTTCACTTCAAGTTGAAACTTTTCCTGGAAGTTTGTCTTACCATAAGCTTTCGTTTGAGCCTTGTCTCGTTGACCAACTCGGGTATAATAGTCTGTTGAACCATGATGATTCAGTATCTCGTGAGTTTAGCGCATAAAAATGGAAAATTGGCGACGCTGTACAGCCTAAACGAGGTTTCACTTCAAGTTGAAACTTTTCCTGGAAGGTTGCCTTACCATAAGCTTTTGTTTGAGCCCTGTCTCGTTGACCAACTCGGGTATAATAGTCTGTTGAACCATGATGATTCGGTATTTCGTGAGTTTAGCGCATAAAAATGGAAAATTGGCAACGCTGTACAGCCTAAACGAGGTTTCACTTCAAGTTGAAACTTTTCCTGGAAGTTTGCTTTACCATAAGCTTTCGTTTGAGCCCTGTCTCGTTGACCAACTCGGGTATAATAGTCTGTTGAACCATGATGATTCAGTATTTCGTGAGTTTAGCGCATAAAAATGGAAAATTGGCAACGCTGTACAGCCTAAACGAGGTTTCACTTCAAGTTGAAACTTTTCCTGGAAGTTTGCCTTACCATAAGCTTTCGTTTGAGCCCTGTCCCGTTGACCAACTTGCGTATAATAGTCTACTTATGCACCGGACTAATAGTCCAATATCCTTGATTTTAGCACATGAAACTGGAAAATTGGCAAAGCTGTACAGCTTAAACCAGGGGTCACTTCAAGTTGAAACTTTGCATGGAAGTTTGCCTTACCATAGGCTTTCATTTGAGCGCTGTCCGGTTGACCAACTCGGGTATAAAAAAAGGGGCTAAAAAACACCACTTTTTGGCGAGGCTCTTTATGCGGGTTTTCCAAGTTGACTCAATGTAGTTTACGGAAACAATCATGATTTAGCCCATAGGCCACTGAATACGTGATAAACGGTTGCCTAAACATAGGTCTGCAGGCGTATATTAGCGAAAATTCGTGGTTTTCCATCACTCCGAGGCTTTTTTGACACCGAGCGCATCGTCTAACTAAAACAAGCTTTTGATATGTTATTAAGGAGGCTTTAGGACACATTTTAACCATGGTTTGGTTTCAGTTGGATGATGCGCTCATAGTTAAAAAAACTTTTACCAAAAATCGACGTTTAAGGGACATCCGCAAAAATCCTAGGGAAACACGTCTCTCGAACTGTATGCACGCTAAGTATATTATCTCGGGCAGATATCGAGCTTTGTTAGACTCTTACAAGGAGATTTCCTTCAATTGTGTCCAAAAAAAATTGAATTTTCCATACAAACAGCTATGAAGATAACGGATTTTGGAGTAGTGGAGGCATATTTTCACGAATAGCATAACATCAACTTAAATCTGAAAATTTATGCAGGTTTTCCGAGTTGACTCATTGTAGTTTACGGAAGTAATCATGATTTAGCCCATAGGCCACTGGCCACTAGATACGTGTTAAACGGTTGCCTAAACATAGGTCTGCAGGCGTATTTTAGCGAAAATCCGTGGTTTTCTATCACTCCGAGGCTTTTTTGACATGGAGCGCATCGTCTAACTAAAACGAGCTTTTGATATGTTATTAAGGAGGCTTTAGGACACATTTTAACCCTGGTTTGGTTTTAGTTAGATGATGCGCTTATAGTACAAAAAAACTTTTTTAAAAATCGACGTTTTAGGGACATCCGCAAAAATCTTAGAGAATTAGGTCGTTAGGTTTTTTATTGGCTACAATTAAAGGATAGCCTTGCAAGGGTTTAACAAGGCTTGATAACTGCCCTCGTTAATATACGTAGCGTGCATACAGTTTGAGAGACGTGTTTGCTATGATTTTTGTGGATGTCCCTTAAACGACGATTTAGAGCGCATCATCTATTTAAAACCAAACCAGGGTTAAAATGTGTCCTAAAGCCTCCTTAATGACATATCAAAAGCTCGTTTTAGATAGACAATGCGCTCCGTGTCAAAAAAGCCTCGGAGTGATAGAAAACCACGGATTTTCGCTAAAATACGCCTGCAGACCTATGTTTAGGCAACCGTTTAACACGTATCTAGTGGCCTATGGGCTAAATCATGATTACTTCTGTAAATTACAATGAGTCAACTCGGAAAACCTGCATAAATTTTCAGATTTAAGTTGATGTGATGCTATTCGTGAAAATATGCCTCCACTACTCCAAAATCCGTTATCTTCATAGCTGTTTGTATGGAAAATTCAATTTTTTTTGGACACAATTGTAGGAAATCTCCTTGTAAGAGTCTAACAAAGCTCGATATCTGCCCGAGATAATATACTTAGCGTGCATACAGTTCGAGAGACGTGTTTCCCTAGGATTTTTGCGGATGTCCCTTAAACGTCGATTTTTGGTAAAAGTTTTTTTAACTATGAGCGCATCATCCAACTAAAACCAAACCATGGTTAAAATGTGTCCTAAAGCCTCCTTTATAACATATCAAAAGCTTGTTTTAGTTAGACGATGCGCTCGGAGTCAAAAAAGCCTCGGAGTGATAGAAAACCACGAATTTTCGCTAAAATACGCCTGCAGACCTATGTTTAGGCAACCGTTTATCACGTATCCAGTGGCCTATGTGCTAAATCATGATTACTTCCGTAAACTACATTGAGTCAACTTGGAAAACCCGCATAAATTTCCAGATTCTAGGAGGGGGCCAAAAAGGGCCCTTATCGATACCCCTCCTTTACTGTTTGGAATTTTTTCGTGGGTGAAAAGGAATATGTCTAAATTGGCAATTAATACAAACTAACTCTACCGATTATGTGCTGTTTAACTTTGATTTGTCTCTTTTTGTCCATTTGACTACATCATTGAGAATTTTATTAACATTTCAGAGCACCTTT